GTTTTTAAATTTGCTATTAGAGAAAACCTTTCAGAATTCAAAATGTTAAATAGTTTTAAATATTAAAATTAACTTTATCAAAAATTAGGAAAAAAAATTTATCCAAAAGAGTTCAAAAATGTATAAGAGTATTCTCAATTTTGAGTTTAATTATATTGTTCATTCTCAAAGTAGAAAATTATATTGTAATTATTTTAATTTACATTTTGTGATCTTCTTAAAATTAGCATCAATAACATTAGACTTTACATTTGATTCATACCTAACTAATTATATATTAAAAGGAAAGTGGTATAACCATGCATTTTACTTTTCTATTTACCTTATTCTTTTAATTATTTTATATAATATTTACCTTATTCTTTTAATTATTTTATATAATAATAATCAAAATATTCACATTCATATGGGCGTTTTCGAAAATAATATTATTGTATTATTGTTAAAATTAGCATCAATAACATTAGACTTGATCTTCTTAATTATATTGTTCATTCTCAAAGTAGAAAATTATATTGTAATTATTTTAATTTAATAAAATATAATTTAAATTTTTAATACTAAAATTAAAAGATTAAATAATAATGACTTTAATTCTTTAAATTGAGTATTTAGAAACTAAAATTATAGTTTCTCTGTTTTAAATAATTAAAATAAAAATGAATATCAAAACTAGTATTATCTTCATTTTTTTTGTTTCAAACTTCTCAATTCTACATTTTTGTAACTTCTATCATTATATTATCATCCTCATCTCATCCCATGTTCTACTTTATCTTTACAATAGTTAATATTCTTAAATAATCTATATTTTTAATTATAAATTTCATAAATTAATCAATTCTAATCTATTATTTGAAAAACTAATCAATTCTAATCAATAATTTAGAAAACTAATCGATTATAATTAATTATTTGAAAAAATTATCAAATATGATCGATCATTTTCAAAATATAATCGATCAGAATCGGATTCGCTTGAGCGAGTAGTCTCGCTCAAGCGAAATACAACCCGAGACTTAACAATCTTAAAATATGTAACTTCTAATAGCGGTTAAACCTTAACCGCTATCTTATATACACTTTAGATAGCGGTTATAAGGGAACCGCTATTATATCCTCTCAATTATGATCGATCATTTAAAGTTATGATCGATCAGAATCGTATTTCGCTCGAGCGATAGTGGTGTCGCTCAAGCGAAATACAACCCGAGAATGCCAATTTTGTGCAGTGGGCGTTTCGCTCGAGCGAGACCATTGTTGCTCAAGCGAAATACATTTTACAATATTTTAATCGATACAACTTGATTTTAATCTATTAAAACCACTTAAGGGTTCAGGATGATCGATCATAATGCAATTATGACCGATCAGAATCAGTTTTAATCGATTAAATCTCGTTTCAATCGATTAAAACAACTTAAAAATTTCTACACAGCGTTTTAATCGATTAAAACTTATTTTTATCAGTTAAAATAACTTGAAAAGTTTTACAAGAAAGTTTTGCAGTATTTCAATCGATTGAATCGTGAAACAATCGATTAAATCAACTTAGAGGATTTTTTGTAAAGTGTTTTAATTGATATAAACGTTGTCGTATCAGTTAAAACAAATCTGTTAAAGAATCAAGAACGTATTAATGGATTAAAAGAAGTTTTAACAGATTAAAATTGCACTTTTAACAGATTAAAAGAATCTTTTAACAGATTAATTAAACCAAGTAGTTTTGAAAATCTTCTATTAAAACAGTTTGGCTTGAACTTTTTTAACATACATTGAATATCACCTTTTACACATCCTTGAGCAATCAATCAAGCAAACTTCAACACTCTTTTCAAGAAAGATTCGCATCAGCTTTTGAGAAGTTCTTTGAAAATCTTTTTTGAGGCAACTTGATTTCTTTTGAAGAAGAAACACTTACAGCAGTAATTGCATAAACTGGTTTGAGCATTCTAGTTTCTTCTTTTTCATTTCTTTACATTCTTTTTGTATTGTTTGGTGCATGGAATTTGGGCACTGGTTTCTCTCGAATTGGAATTTGGTTGTAGAGGTTATTAAGAGTTGGAATTTGGTAATACAGAAAACATTTCAGAAAGCAAAATGTTAAATACTTTTAAATATTAAAATTGACTTTATAAAAAATTAGGAAAAAAAAATTAATCAAAAAGAGTTCAAAAATATATTATAATATTTTCAGTTTTAGTTTAATTATATTTTTCATTCTCAAAGTAGAAAAATATATTGTAATATTATTTTAATTTAATAAAATATAATTTAAATTTTTAATACTAAAATTAAAAGATTAAATAATAATAAATTTAATTCTTTAAATTTAGTATTTAGAAACTAAAATTATAGTTTCTCTGTTTTAAAAAATTAAAATAAATATTTAAAAATAAAAATCAAAACTATTATTATGTTAAATTTATTAAAAGTATAATTAAATTTCTATTTTCTTCAATTTTTTAATATAAATTTTTAAAATATAAATTAATTTCAATTGAAATTTTCAATTGAAAAATAAATTCAAGAATATTTGTTATTAAACTTTTCTTAAACAATGTATTGAATAGTTAACATCACTCTAGTCTTAATTTATTATAATTTAAATTTTTAATAAATTTGATTTATTACAATTCATTTTGTTAATATTGAGACCAAAGTTTATTTTTAAAGTATATTTTAAAAATTAAATTATTTTTAAAAACTAAATTACTTTTAAAAAATAAATTGTAAAAAATATACTAAAACAATTAAAGTATATTTATAAAAAAAATTAAATATAATAAAAAAATAATATTCATTAGCGACCGATTTCAATTCGGTCGCTATTTTCTCATTAGCGATCGATTATAATTCGGTCACTATTTCAATTTGTAATTCGGTCGCTAAATCGAGTCGCTAAATGATTTTTTTATTTTAGTGTGGAATAGCCATCGATTTAGCGATCGAAATTTTGCGACGCAAATTATTGGTCGCTATTTCTGATCGCTAAATAACAAAATGAAAACCAATTCATATTTTGGTCGCTAAATCGGTCGCTAATTGCGACCGAATTAAAGTGGTCGCTGAATCGGTCGCTAATTGCGACCGAATTAAAGTGGTCGCTAAATCGGTTGCTATTTGCGATCAAAATTAAATCGGTCACTAAATCGGTCGCTATTTGCGACCGAAAAAATTCAGTCGCTAATTTCGGTGGCTAAATGTCATTTTTCTTGTAGTGAAGTTATTTAAAATTTTCTAATTGCTATAATGTCATAAATACTTTCATGGAATTTATGTATATTTTTTAAAAAGTTATATGCTTTACTGAAACTGGATATTTATGATTATAAAAAGTATTAAATACACTAATTTTAATTATTTGTAAACTTTTTATAAATGTTTTTTTTCCAAATTTTTCAAAAGCATTGCAAATCTATTTATCAAATAAAATTTTTATTTTGTAAAATTAAAAAAAATGAAAATTATATTTATGATTTCATCGTCATATATGAAATATTATTTATTTTAAAAGTCTATCATGATTTTTTTTGGAATGAAATATATATATATATATATATATATATATATATATATATTATTTTAACCGGTACGAAACTTTAAATATATTTGATAATATATAGTTTTATCGAGGTATTATTCAGAAAAAATTTCAATTTAATGTAGATTTTTTACTTGTTAAAATTTCCTGGAGTAAATTTTAATCTTTTTTTTTCTTCATTTCATTTCTTATTTTTGTTGAAGTGAAAAAAAAATTCATTAGTAGTTTCCCCAATCAATTATTTTTGTTGGAGTGAAAAATATTTAAATTTCATTAATAATTTTCACATTTAACAAAACATAACCATTGTAAAAGTAATTAACGTGATACTTTAAAAAATAATAATTTGATTTTAATTATTATAATATTAGTTTATTTAAATAATGAATAATATATAGTTTACATGAATGGGGAGGTTAATAAAATAAATTGGACTGATTTCAGATTTTTATTAATGAGATTATTTTGTAAACCAATTATTTTAAAATTCTTCACATTTTAAACAAAGTCTCAAATTGAAGATTTATCTATGAAAAACATAATTATGAAAAAAATCTACTAAAAGTTATCAACAAAATTATCTAAGAAACGCATCAGCAAAACTAATAAATATTTCTCACAAGTCACGTAGTTAACAAATTATTTTTGTATCTGGGCTAGACCAATAGATTAAGTGATTACTACACTTTAAAGTAATTTTAAACGGTTTGAAAATATATATATAGAAAAATATTTTTAATTTTATATTTACCATTAAGAAATTAAAATCATTAAATAGATAATTTAAAAGAAAATCATTTCAACCTTAAAATGTCTTTAAAAAATTACTGAGTATATATATATATATATATATATATATATATATATATATATATATTCATAAAGATAAATTAATAGTGGTGTCTGAAAGATGTTAAAGCTAAAATTAATAAAATCTTTCTTTAGCATGAATATAATTTCTCAAATAAAAGGAGTTAATTTTGTTATCGATGGGAAATTTAAAATTATTGCTTGTCAAAATGACACAAAAATAAAATTTAAATAAAATCATAATAATTTTGGCTTGGCTAGATGAGTTTGGTGCCACCCCATTTTTGTATTTGTAATAAATCCTGAATCTGGTTTCAAGATTCTGTGATAATTCTTGTTTTTTCACTGTTTTCCCATAATTTCATTTGGAGTGAAAGCTTTTTGTGAATTGAAGAGGACTAGTCACCAACTCTTGACAGAAGAAGATCTCAACTAAACCACCACACTCTCCCTCCTCCCCGAGTTCAGTAAACACCAAAACCACAAAAACCAAATGCTAACAACCCCTCAAAGAAACAACTACACTTCCTAGCTAGTTTAGAATTGAGAATTAAAGAACAAGACCTTATATATGTGTATATAGTTTACTCATGATATACCAAACTTCATATTTCAAACATATCATACTTTCTTATTTCTCTTTGCCATGGCTCGGCCACTTGTAATGATCCATCCTCTACCAAGTATTTCACACATTGGGTTCACTGTTATGACCCTTATGGTGTGTGCCATTGCATTGCTCATGTGTGCTTCTCATTCACGCAAATGGCGCAACTGGATGTCTTGCTATGATGCCTTTAGAGAACCTGTCATAGAATTCAACAATGAAGTGGTTATGAGCACTTGTGGTGAGCAACAAGAAGAGGGTTCACTTTGGCAGAAGAACATACTCATGGGAGGGAAGTGCCAGCTCCCTGATTTCTCTGGGGTCATAATATATGATTCCGATGGTAACATAGTGAATCATGCTAAAACTTCTCGTCCATTACTGACCTGGAAATGAGGATTTGAGGAACCCCACAAGTCTTTTTCATTGGAAGATGAAGAACTAGGGTAGGATTCCATCTTGGCCACTTCATGTTTCTTGATCGTCTCATTAGTCTTATAGTTTCAGCAGTGAGAATAGATTGTTGCATGAGTTAGACCAAAAGCCACGTAGTTGGAGTGTCTCATTTGTATGCATATACGAAGCTCTTGTTATCTTTAATTGTACATGTGATCATGCCCTTAGATTCTGCAAAGGAGAACATCAATCTTTAGTTTGAATTACACCTTCATTTTCAGTTTTTATTTAAACACATATGCATATCACTCCTGCACCTCAAATCTTTCCAAGGCTTTTCCTCGACATCTAAGAATCTCGAATTCATAAACCAACAATTTAGTAAGTCATGTTCAACTAGTTTCACCATAATCCAGTCTTGTCGTATTAGATTCGTGTTCGTATATCAAACTTTTAGATTGAGTAAGAATAAATAAATTCGTCTCTCAACTCCCATACTCATCCTACCGTCATATTAAATTAATTTTTTAATATGATATTAAATATTAAAACTTTAAAATTTTATGAGGACTAAAATGAAACTTTGCAATGTCTAATTAAATATAGCCACTTGACATGTGGGCACTATATAAATCACCCAAAATTGCATGTTAAAAAAACTTGAAAATATATATGGTAGATATTATTACATATAGTTAGATATAATATAATTTGTAATAATTATGAAATGGGTTTAGAATATGTCTTTTTTATCATAAATATATTATCTTAGGATAAGAGAATTAATTTTATATCTAGTTTTATTTTAACATTTCACATTATATTATATTAGAGCAGATGAGTAACCAATGAAAACAAATGTATCAACAGTTGATTTATTTGACACACACAAAAGAATGGAACAAGTAGAAGTAAATTTGGGTATACCAAAATTTGATCATGAACATGTAACACCACAAGAAATTTTATAATTAGCTAGAAAAATTAGCTACAAATTTCTTTTTTCACTAATTTGTAGTTAATTAGCTATGGAATAGTGAAAGAATAAGGCTGTAGTTAATATGTAGTAAAATAGCTAGAAGACTAATATTTTTGTAGCTATTCTCTCACTTAGCAAAAAAATAATTTAGTTAGGAAAATTTTTGTCACTAATCCCTCGCTATATAAATATTAGCTATATTACTTTTTGAAGCTATTTCCTAGCTAAATTGTGTAACATACAATTATAGTTAAACTGTAGCAAATTTATAGCAACTATCAAATTAAAAAAATATTAAATTATTGGGAACATTCTTATAAATTATTTTAGTTTTATAAAAAATTATTTATAAAAAATACTTGTAAATTTCTCTAAAAATATATAATTATAAAAAAAAATTTTGATCTTTTTGAAAAAAATATCAATAAAAATTAATTACAATTTTTTCTTAAAAAATTATTTTTACCAAATTTACTATAAATATATAATTATATATATATAAATTATTTTTTTTATCTAAAATAAATTATTTAGAAATAATTATAATTTTTTTGAAAAATATCTAAAACAATTGATAAATATTTAAAATTATTTTTTGTAAGTTTTTTATAAATTTAAATTTGTTAGAAATATTTAATAATATTTAAATTAATAGAAAAATTTTATAAATAATATTTTTTTATAATTTTTTTAGAAACTATTCTTTATAAGAAATAAAAAAATTTATATTCAGAAATAGTAATTTATTTATTTTTTTATAATTCTTTTGATAAAAATCTAAATTATTTTTGTTTCATCTTCTTCATACTTAATTTTTTCAAACCTAACTCCTCTCTCAGTCCCGCCGTGCCGCTCGCTGCCGCTGCTCCCTGCCGCTCGCTGTTGCTCCCTGCCGCTCCCTGCCACTGCTCGCTGCCGCCGCTCGCTGTCGCTCCCTGCCCCTGCTGTTGCCGCCCCCATCCGCTGCTGCTGCCGCTGCCGCTCTCGCTCTCGCGCCGCTCCCCTACTGCTCTTGCTCCCGCTCCCGCGCTATCCTGCGCCGCTTCCGCACACGCTGCCACTGACGTTTTCTCACGGTAATCTCTTTTTCATTTTGAATGTTAACCTATGATTTGAGTTTTGGGAGGTTTGATTTTATTCAATATGTGTTGTTTTATCGATCGTTAATTGTCTATCGCCTAATAGTTTTAAGTTTGTTGTGTATTATTTTTAGAGTGAACTCTGTTATGTTGAGTAAGTAGCACTATTACGTATACCATGTTACAACAATGCAGATTGATCCAAATAAAAGAAAATGTTATAAACGTAAAAAACAATGGTTAATTTTAAAAGAAAGTGTAACTCAGTATGAGGCCAAACAATACCCAGGCACATGAACAGATATTGCGGGATAAGTAGAAGTATGATTACTTACCATCTATATGTTACAGAGAGAAGAGTGGATGATTTTGTTTATAGTAAGTAACTGTTTACTCATTCAAATAATGGAGCTACTACAATACAATCATCTTTCCCTTATCTATGCCTATCTACCTATCAGGTATAGGTATAGCTTCCTTGTGATTTTGTGAACTGTGGTGTGTTTCCTTTGCGTGTCTGGAATCAAGACTATAAAACTAGTGTATAGTCTTGTTCTTTCCTTAGAAGTGGAAAATGGTGAATCCCACTTTTTCTGCTGGCAGATTGTTCTTATTGTATGGGGGTTAAAGAGAATATTCATTTACCATCTTCACTCTCTGTTTAGATTGTTCCACCCATGCCTTGATTTGTTTAATATAAGCTATCACACCCACATGTTTTATTTAAATTGATTCTATTTTGATTGGTATGCAAAGGACACAAACATTTTTTTTTAATTATTAAGTGATATCAATATGCACCTTCAAACAAGATCATGACAAGCCACTCTTTTAAAACCCTAAAATATTTTGTCATGATTTGAAACAGTTGCGTAATGATTAACAAATTTGCATGCTCATATGTGATAAGCCATGGAGTTATTTGGTTCTCATTAGACCTCATGAAATGCGTAGGTATTTAAATTTTCTTTTTACGTTATGAAAGAAAATTCTTTTATTCATAAATCTAATTAACAAATTATAAATGTCTTCATTTTTCTATAACATGTGTATTTTGCCAAATCGTATTTGCCTAATGCCTCTTCCAAACTTGTGCAATATATAAGACTCTGAGAAGTGCCATATCACATATTAAACTCTTCTGTGCGCATGAAACTATAAGCAATCTCACTCTTTACTATAAGCAATCTCACTCTTTACTACCAGGTAAGTCATATCTCACCCTTCTAATTAAATTCTCTTAATATTAATTGCTTTATGTATATGCTTTTTTATGTGTATATTTATAGATAGCTATCCAATGCACTCTCAGTTTTTAGTTTTGAACATTGGTTTGAATGGCATTACTGTTCTTTTGGTGACTGTTTTCACATTCAATAATGGTTGAAGTGTGTGTTTTTTTTTGTTTTTTGTTTTAAGTTTCTGTTTGGGTTTTGGTTGGAGTGAATCAGAGAGTGTTGGCCTCACCACACTAAAAGAGTTTTTGCAAAGATAGACATGAAGAGAAAGAGAATGGATGGTTACACAAATTAATGTGGAAAAGCATTTGTATCACCATGAATTTATGGATGGTTACACAAATTGGATCCTTCATGGTGAGGAAAGATGGACCGATGATGTATAAGGACAGAGATGTGGGTTGGATTAGTAGACATATGGGCAACAGAAGAATGGAAAAAGAAGTCCATTGCAGGTAAGGCCAATAGGGCTATCAAGCCTGATGCCATGATGCACACAGGAGGATCAAGAAGCTTTGGACAACACTTGAAAAAAATGGTATTCATACTTTATACATTTAATACATTGATCATATAATTGTTAATCAATATTGATTACTAGTTATAAATTTAATATTAGGTTTGATGTTGGTATATTGATGTCTGAATCTTGAATTGTAAATTATTTCATAGGAAGAAGAGCACAAACGTCCTATTTCTTATGGTGAATTATATAGCAAAGTTCATAAAAAGAAAGATGGTGAATATGTGTCTAACAAAGCAAAAAATTCATTGTAAGTGTGTATATTTTATAAATATTAAATTTTGTTTATTTATAATATTGCTAAAATATTGATTTGATGTAGGAATCATATGAAAATGCTATGATTGAAAAATATGGGGAAGATACATCAAATCATCCTATAGTTGATATTTGGATAAAGACTGCTGGTGAAAATAAAAAAGGTAGAATTTATGGTATAGGTCGAGTTTGGATCTTGGTATTTCACATGTTTCATCTTCATCAGTTGAAGGTCCCTCTTCCCAAAATCTTACCACACCTCTCACTCGAAGAAATCATTACCTTAACTACACAGATATCTAGTTTGCAAGAGCGAGATGAAAACACAGATTGCGAGCACAACCGATATGCAAGCATTTATGCAAGCACAAATAAAGACACAAGCGTAAATGCAAACACTCATGCAACAACAAATGCAAGAAGAAATGCAGTCTTTCAAGAAAGATTTATTATCTACCTTAAAGAAACAATGATGAAAACATACTTTAAACTTTGTTTCTATTTGTAATTGTGTTATACAGAACTTTTTAGTTGAAATATTATTTTTGTTATGTTTTAATTGTTTGAAACATCATTTTAACTATGTTTAAACAATATTTTTATATTGAAAGTTGATAAGTTTGTCTTCTTTTTTAAGAATGAGTAATAATTTAAATCTTAAATATTTGATATTATAAATTTTGATAAAAATTATGAGGGATTAGCTATGAAATAGTAAGAAAAACATTGCAAAGGATTAACTACGGATTAGCGAAGAAATAATTGTGAGGCATTAACCACTAGCTAGAGATAGAGAGAGAAAAATTGTGAGGGATTAGCTACGGATTAGCGAGAGAAAAATTGTGAGGGATTAGCTACGGATTAGCGAGAGAAAAATTGCGAGGGATTAACTACGGATTAGCGAGAGAAAAATTGCGAGCGAT